CAGCTAAGCCACCTTAGTGGGCCAGGCACTGCAGATGTCACATACCCACAACTGGGTGGGCACCTAGGTAAATCAGCACATCAGTGACTGCTTGTAGAACCACCAAGGAGATCATCAAACTTGTGTGGTTGGAGAAAGCCAAGCAATGGAAATATCTGAATTTCAGAGAAGTCAGGTCTCAGGTAAGCCAAAAACACTTTACCCCAACCATGAAGTATCTATAACGCTGTAGTACAACTTGCAATCTTCCACATCTTGTTCCTCTTCCTCAGCAAAAATGGGAATCCTGTTTTTTAACTTTCCTTTTATGTATTTTTTATCTAAAGTGCAGAGGACTGGTTGAATTTTTGGTACCGTGACTACTCTCTTGCCAGCACCCCTTTAATGTGTACCTTGTGCCAAAGAATATTAATTATTGTAGGCTACAGTGAAGTCCATCCCTACCCCCACTTGAGCCTCTGAAATGAACAGTGAAGTTGAACTTTGCCAGCAACTGTTAGGAAAAGGGCCAAGAACAGCCTAACAGGAAAGATACTGAGGATTTTTTGTTTGGTTTTCTGTTAAACCATGTTTTTGTAATTATGAATACTTTGTTGAAATTGCTTAGAAAAGGAAGTGCACATAAAATGGTCCATACAATTAAGCTAACTACATATTAGAGTTGAAAGAATATAAGGCTGGTCTCACTCTGTTGCACTTACACAGACAAAACCCTTCTCAAAAGGAATTTGGCTTGACAAGGCAGATCTGGAGACAAATCTTAGTTAACTTCAGGCCCATGTGCCATATTGTCTGGTTTATGACTGCCCCAAATGGCCTAAAAGCAAAGGACATTCACACTAAACAAAAGCAATGGCTGAAAGAAAGAGGAGGAATGGGAAAGCTGTCATTTCCAAATCCCTTCCACTCAAAAGTTGGTTCCTGACTCTGGATCAGAAACCCTGAACAAGACAGGAATTACTTTATACTCCTAAAACTATCTTCTACTAGACTGGGGAGAAACAGGACTACTTTATTTTGCTCAGATTCACATGAATGCTGCTTTAATCATTCCCCACTTGCTCCTGCCACTTCTCTCCAAGCTTAGGTTTGTAAAATCCTGAATCACCAAATCAAGATCACTTGCCAAGGCAGCTTTCTCTTGCTTTCCAAGATAGATGATTCTGGAGTATCAAAAAAAAGTTTTTCAAGTGTGGGAAATTACAACTAAGTAAATAAATAAAGGACTAAGTTGCAGTAGGACCACTTCAAACTGCTATACTTCAAATAGTGTTTTATAATTTCCATTTAAATGGTTTTCTCTAGGAAATGGCAATAAAATAGAAGCAGCCTGCTCCTGACTCCCAGCACACCGAGGCACACGTAGTGCTACAGGCATATCTCACTCTAAAAGGAAAAATGTCATCCTAGAGTGAGAAAGCTCAGTACTTGGTTTATAAAACAACATTTTATGATTCAGCCTTAAGAAAGTCTTGGTTTTAGTTAAAGGAAAATTAAACTTATCCTTGACTGATACAGCAAATGATGTAGTGAACTAAACATTTAGAAGCATATACGCAATATAAATGTCCTGTCAAGCACTTTCACTTTCCATAGTAATAAGCCCCCTCCCCTGTACACAAAATGCATTTGATGCATAACCAATATTGCTGAAAACATGTCCAAAAATGAAGGAAGGTCTACTTTATTACAAACCTAGTTTTTAAGGCCGATTCTGACCTTGCAAGGTCCCTTATATAAGCAACAGTACGCTGCCATTTGGCTGAGATCAAAATAAAGCCTCCCATCTCCTCAATAAACAGTACCGCAAAGCACATTGTAGTGGGAAACTGGTAAAGTAGGTATGACTATTTTTATCCACACCGTGTGTAATTGTGTTGAAGCCTGTGATAGCAACTAACTATTGCCATCTTAAGGTGGCCCTAGTATTGCTGCAGATGAAGTCGAGCTAGCTGTTGCTGCTACTCTGCACTCTCCTTGTTATATACCCCGTCACTTGCACACTCTTGAACAAGGTGGTTAGAAGTGCTCGCTCCAAGATTAGTCAAATCCTGCAGTACAGCTCTCTTCTGAAATACACATGTAACGTATTTAATATTAAGAAAAAGTACTGCAAGATAAACATTTTCCCTCTCCCTCCTTTCTCTTACATAAAATTTTATTAAAGACATCTAATCCCTGGCCAAGTAATCTGCCAAACGCAGACCTCTGCTTCTGGCAACCCTAAGCGGTACTGTTGCATTTGTTTTGCCTAGCTGTACCTCTATAGCCTACCTGCCTAGACAGTTCTGTAACTGAGATCGTGCTCAAAGTGCTTCATAAACTATTAATTTACATTGTAGACACGGTGCGAAATAACTACTGACTGATTTATACATAGGAAGTACAGGCACAGAACTAAGGAGAGTTGCAGACAGTCAGGGCATCCTACCTTTCAGACCTAGGTGATGACAATCTTCGCAAACAAAGCTAAGTGACTTGGTGGATTAAAAAAAAACCCTTCTTGGTGCCTTTTATCTGTAAGACACATCTGACATCTGTGATTTTTGAATGTGTTTTAATACTAACGAGCAACCAAGTAACTTCTAGCTGAGCGGCCCCATGAACATTTTTGTATTCCCACATCTTCTGTCACTCCTGCAACTTCCAACTCTGAGCATGAGTGGTGATGACATCAGGGAAGGGCATAACCAGGAAGTTAAAAACAAATTGGGAAACAAACCTTCCTACGTCACTCGTTCCAAAAACCCATCCACAGAGGGAGTGAATGCAGTGCTACCTTCTGTAAAAGAAATTTGGTATTTTCAGCCCAACGGACCTGTGAAAAAGCTTCCATCCCCTGCTGGTTCTTCAGCCAGATGTACTCTGCAGGGAAATGGAAAACTGAAAAGGATAAAAAATGGCCATCTCATCTGCACAAGTGCTCCAACAGGATAGCACTGACACACAGTGACAGGAAAACTTGCATCCCCCGCATCTGCTGTTGTATCTCTTCTGAGATTGCAAATGAGACCTGAGCACTCTAATTACCTCGTATTTCTCCTAAAACAGCTTACAGAGACAGGCCTAGACGCCTCAAACTAAAACAAGTAATTCCTAAAATCTGTTGGACATGCATTTATTTTGGATGTAAAATTTACCCTTAAATATAAAAGCATCCAAATTTATCAAAAAATTTTTTTAAATTGAATCAGTGCAACTCTCCTACACATTTGGCATCCTGTAAGAACATTACGTTAATCCAGGTACAAAGTAGATAGTTCTCCTTGTTTGTTGCCCTTCCCTTCACTGTTTAGATCTTGCATACTGCAAACGGACCTGTCCCAAAGGCAGGCATGTCAACTTGCTACCCCCAGCTGCTTTTTTTTCCAACTTAAATACTCTTCAGTTTCACTAGACTTCACCAACTCTGCATAAAGCTGTAACAATCTATTGTGAAACACTCGAGCAATTTAACATCAATCTGGTATCAAAGATAGCCGCACTTAAAGTGCTTTAATTGAATTTTATAGAAGTAACAGAGCATGTATTTAATTTGGTATTGCCGATTTGTACTTTAAATACACGCAAGCATTCTGTTCTTAGAATTATTGCACCGTGTGCAGTTTGCTCAGTACAGAACAGCATATAGCGACACAGTCATTCATACAATTAACCGTGTCCACTGGAGATGACTTTTGCAAATAATGCTAAACATCCCATTAAGTTACCTGAACCTGTCTGGAAGTTCCAACTTGCGTGACCAAGTGACTTCAGCCCCAGTGTTATTCAGACTGGGATTCTGTGCTCCTTCCTTATTGCCCAGTTACCCAGGGATGAGGTGTTCCCTCCTTACTCTGCCCAACAGTGGCACCCAGCGGTCAACTGTTTCCATGAACACTCGGGGACACGGCTACTGTTCGCGTTCCCACTCACTGGATTTCCTAAACACAGCCAGAGTCAGTTTAAATGCACCAGCTGTTTGACTATTGAGGTTCAAAACGCTACTCCTATTTAAACTGTCTAGAAAGCCTGAGACTACCATCGCTGGTGAAGACTAGCCAGAGCTAGGAAAAATGCACAGCACCTGAAACGCTGCACAGAAGACAGTCGGCCACCTCCAAACAGGAGACAAGGTTACTGTACAGTCAAACACATCAGCAAAATTGCTCTTTTAAAAAACAAGTATGCCACCTCAACCAACGAGATATTTTATATGTCCATTTCTAAATAGCTACAGACTGTGAAAGGATTCCTGGGCAAGAGAAGATTATTTTGCCCTTGATGATGCAGCTCTTCTTTTCTAAAGGTCCTAGCACTCAAGCCAATTTCCAGGAGTGCCATATAGCACATCAGACAAACAGTCTACATGTGATGCAATTTCCCAAGAATCAAAAGTAGTAGTAGGGCTAACAAAGCCCCCAGGCATTAACAGGGATTCAGCAATCTCCATACTAAGTTATTTTCCATCAGTAGCCATAAAAGGATGCTGCTTCAGATTTTGGGCATTAACCGAATAGAAACACGTAGAGGTGAGCCCAGATGCAGAGTCCAGGACTAAACTCTGGAAGATTCCATTTAACATTCTTCCCTCTTACACAGAGAAATCGGTTTCAGGTGACTCATATTTATAGTCTCTGTAAATAAGTACAAAGAGGTCAAATGCCAGGACAGCATGTCAGAGAGATAGAGAAGATCGGAAAAACAAGCTATGAAGTGCAGAGAAGGCAGCACGAACACAACAAATGCTTTTCTCACTAAACCAAGGCTGAACTGAAAGCATTATCAGAAAAGTCGGTGAACCTAAATTTTAGTAAGTTTAAACTCCTCCATATTGTAGCATAAGGGATTGCGAGAAGGGGATTAAACTGACATTGGAATTAGATTGATCAATACATTAAGATGAGATGAACAAAACTGACTTGTAACTCTTAGCCACTTCCTTACCATGAACTGCTCTGGTTTCTAAAATGCACAATCACTTCTAACAAAGGTAGAAAATACTCAGCATTGCACTAGTCGAACTTCTTGAAAAAATTTAATAAGACAAATGTCTTCATAATACAGGTAAATTGTACATCATAGATTATGTGTTTATAAGTGAACTGAATTAGTCTCTTCGTAATTGGACAGTTTCTTCTTTAATTCCATCTTTTGTGACAATGCAAATCTTAAGTGCATCCCCAGTGTACACATCTCTCTCAGCAGCAGAAATAAAGACATCTTTAACCAGCTGCAAAGCCTTCTCCAGGGTCAGAGGTACATGTTCCACATTTTGCATGTTCTTGAATCCAATCTAAGAAAAGATGAAAATGCATTTTAAAGGAAGTATGATCCATCTAGCACGAAAGCTGTTTCAGTCTCTGCACTAGAATGAGCAGATTTAGACAACTTAAAAAGAAGAAATGGTTGGTCTGTTTTAGAAACCCAAAGCTGGCAAAAGTATTCCTCCACACAGTTTACAGCTGCATGATCAGAACTTTGCCGATGTTGATCCTCTTACAAAAGCAACTAGAAGCAGATCCAGTATACAGCCAGAATAGCTCCTCCCACCCATTCAGCACATACAAGATCGCGATGAACATTCAGATCTGAACTGATCTAACTCTTCAGAAACTTCTCACTGGGTTAGCAGTATCAGAACTGCACACAAGCCTCTTCTCTAGTCATTCTATAGTTAGGAACATTTCTTAAAAGCAAATATTCCTAAACATACCTAGGATTCAAAAATAACAGTCTATACTGGAGCATAACCACTCCTATTAAATAGTGTATTTTAACTGATAAACTTGCGTGTCCACTTAAGCATCAGAACTGGAAAAGGAGCGGAAGAGTCACTTACTATGCCTCAAACTCATAAGCGATAAAAAGCAACTTATGACAACTTTGTTTCTGCAGAAGATATTTTATTTTCTTCAGTTAATAGAGTTCAAAACTAAGTCAAAGCTAAGAACCTGGAGTTGTTGAAAAGAAAAAAAAAAAAAGAAAGAAAGATTCTACTCCTTTCTCAGCTGGTAAGAACTAAGAGTGCTTATGGCTTTTTTAAGCACAAAAGTTGTGTTGACATCAGGCTCAACTGACTAAACAATACCAATGCCAGTATTGGCAAAATAAAATGAGCAAAACATGTTTTGATATTTCTCTCATTCAACAATTAACAGTTTTGATTAAATATGAAAATATTCTTCAAGTATTTTTAGACAGATTTAATTGAATAAGTTTCCAGTTTTATGTAAGAACATTCTTAGAAAACGGCATCTGAGCTGTACAAAACTTAAGACTTTTAAACAAGTGTATGTTAAGTGATAAAATGTATTATATACACACCTACTAATTCTATCTTCTTCATTTAGTACTATTTCATGCGAAATAACAGGCATATTTATGTTATCAGCTAGGGAAAAAAAACAGAAAAAAAACCCAAACAGCTTCTATGGGAAATATAATTCCCCAATTAAAATATTTAACCTGTATTTTAAAAAAACAAGCAGTCCACTGTTCGTAGCACATTAAAATTCTGAACAGATTCTAAAGGAAAACTTTGATTTCTCCTGAGAAGGTAGAGCCACACAATTTATAAATGTATGGATTAACAATCCTACCTGTAATACATTTAAAACTTCTCTCAAAAGTAGTATTCCCCAACAGTCAAGCTACATTAATTTGAATGTCACAAATGTTTACTGAGATCATTTAAAAAAAAAAAAAAAAAAAAAAAAAAGAGAGGGAGAACAAAAAAGGAGAACTATTTTACCTGGTTATCAAGCAAGGGTTGCAGCATGGCACTTGCTGATCCACCTGCTTTGAAAGAATCTCTCTGGTATGAGCCCACTGGATCAAAGCTATATACTGCTCCCTTCCCTGAAAAAAAAAAAAGTATGTAATCACAATCCAGAAAGATTCTTAATACAGATAAGCATCAAACACTAGCTCTCTCCATAAGCAGTCTCTGGAATACCAGAGAAACCAGAAAACCTTTACGAAATAATACTGCAGTATGTTCAGATGATGCTTTGTATAGTAAGCTCACTATGGTTGTGACCTGGTACTATATGCAAGGTTATTCTCAATATTTAAGCTATAAACATGCTCTAACAGACGTTTTCTACAGTACCCACCACAGAAAAAGTGCTGATGGAGAATAATCAGAGCAGGAGAATGTGCTAGAGCGCAGTGCTGCACAAAGAGCTCTGCTGGTTCTGAAGCTAGCACAAAGAGGCAGTTTAGCCATCGTTCTTGAACAGTACAGTTCTTGAACTATGTCCAGAGAACGCGCTTGGATGCCTCTGCATCGCCTTCCCGGAACCAGCGATGATGCTCCGGTCTCTTATGCACTTCCCTCTGGAGTCAGGCCAGGTTGTGCAAAGCTTATTAGCTTGCACCGGCATCAGAGATGCAGACACGCTGCACCTCTGAAGCATCAGCACTTGATGAGGACATACTAGTCAAAACGCAGCACCTGGCCAAGCTCATCCTTTCTGTTCAGACAAGCTGCACTTGATTTAATAAACTGGCCAATGCATTTGGCAGCACAGCACAGGTAGCTGAGCAGCCCTGAGAAGGCTAGCAGAGATCCAGAAAGTAACACTAAACTAGAACAAATCAACCTTGCTGCACCCAAATTAAGCCCATGCACACAAACCTGCACTCTTATTCTTACCAATTGCTACAACACCCTCATAATCTGAGATTTACCATTACGCAGGGCAGACTAATCCCTTTCCAGACTCCACATATCGTAGACATGCCTTAGCAAGACTGGGAAAGCAGCGTAACTTAATGGTAACAACAAACTGTGGGGAATGGTTGAAATTATCCAAACAAGACCACCTCTGAGCTCCTGCTCAAAGCCAGAGTATTTTAGCAACCCAACCATTGGACAAGAGCCCAGTAAGTCCTGAAAGGGCTATACATTAAACTATAGCTTCCATGCAGAAGTCATGATTTTCATAAGAGATTAGTTAACATTTAAAAATCTCTTCGTAGGAACCTGTCTCTGGAGTAAACCTTCATATTTAATAATCTCTACCACACTGACAGGCCAGAGTAAAATATATACCATTTTACTGCTAATATCTCCTTTAAAGACACAATTAAGAATTCCAGCAAAGCTGTTATAAAGTGTTCCAGTCTAGAGTAAAGTACAAGAGGTAAGCGACGTTAGCAGATTTCACTTGTAATCAAATAATTATAAAATAGTTATTAAGACTTTCAGACCTTCAAAAATGGAAGATCAAGTTAGTAGCGGAAACTAGGAAACAAGTCAGATGCATAATATGCATTTGACTTGTATAAGTGCCGTAATGCCTAAAGGTAGGTGTTAGGAATAGGAACACAAATGTCATTACTCCATCAGTACACCTGAGATGTAAAAGGATAGCTATTCACCTACGGAAATTTAGCCCTTCTTTTCCTCTTTTTTGTTTAAAGTCTTACCTTCTTCATCAAGTCCACCAATTATGTTGTAAACGTAGTAAGGAAAGAAACGTCGAGAATACAGAATTGTAGACAGCATTGCTGCAATAGCCCCAGTAGTCATGGTCTTGTTATTGGAATGCTTGTACATCTGCAAACGGTACCGCGTGTCCAAGAAGAAAGTCAAACACTAAATTTTACACTCAATCAGAATTACATTTTCTGTAACCTCACTGCAGAAGAATCTGACGCTAAGCAAGATTATTAACTAGCATGATTACTGAAATCACACTGGTCTAAAAGTAAAGCCTTCTTACAAGCCAAAAATTAATATTTCTCCAAAGTTTTGCAAAGAATAGATGTTGCCTCATTAACATTATCCTCTCCAGCTCCTCCATTCTTTAAATTTGTGATGTTACACTTAGTAAGAACATAGCATCAATTTCCTCTGCCTGATCTTTCACTAGCAATACAGCCATAGTTATGGTTGTAACACTTGAAGAAAACCAGCAAAAATTATATTTAAAACATACCATATTATTGGTGTCAAATTGATACTAAGAATATAAGTTTCTAAACACAGTAAGATAGTTAGCTACCTTTAATCTTGCTTCAATAATTTTAGTAAGGGTAAGGCAGTCACCATGGAAACCACTGCATCCAATGACCGTTTGTTCTGTTCTGTAAAACATAAAGTTTTGTTGCGATTTTAGATTTAACATGAACTATACCAGTTTCTTACATGGTAGATTATTATGAAAACACCAAATGTATTTTCAGTTTCTCTAACGCTATCAGAAACAGCTGTCTAAAATGTAGTAACAGATATTTTGTGTACAAAAGATAACTGCAACCTACATCTTGGAGAGAAATCATTAAGTGCAGGACCACGCAGATGTCTTTCTTCAATCCACTGACTTCCACAGCAAGACTGACAAAAAGAAATTCTTAATTTCTTCATGCACCCCTAACTCTAGCTATTACCATTCAGTCTTGCTAGAGCATCTGTTTTGAGATGGGGAGCCTGTTACGTCGTATCGCTCAGCCCAGTTTCACTCCACCTAGGCAGAGGACTGTGTTAAGATTGTATGATGGTTATGTACACTTATGCTGTAGGTGATTTTCTGCGTCAGCACAACAGAAGTTATCTGGCTGTGGATGCACTGTAGAAGGTTAGCTCTTTGCTCAGTTTCAAAACGTTTCATGAACTCTAACTACAGGAACGCACATTTGAAATTTAAATATAGTAAATTAGTGAGAGTCTACAACCATTCACGCATACTTATAGACTAACACAAAGCAGTCATTCAGAAAACAATTTAAATTGAAATCTTCTCTCAGCCTGTCACTAGAATTACACAAAGCCATCATGTGCAGTATGCAGACTGTACCACAGTAATTTCCATTTGGACAGTGTCAGAGAGTCAAAGATATAGTAAGGAGTTAGCCAGGAGAAACATAAGTTCATATGATCTTGTGTCATCAATTAAAAAAACAAAAAAAGACATAAACAAAAAAAATTGTTTACATAACTGATGGCAGCCTACTAGGTAAGCACCTGCTACAGTCAAAAGAATGTAAACAATATGTATTTTTAAACCGAGGGGATGCTATCTAGGTGAGTCAAGATAAGCATACAATGAGCATAAAAAGTTCAATAATGGAACTACTGACAGGTTTACCTCTCCTCAAACAAACACCTCTTCAAAGTGCCAGATGGTTGACTAGAGATACACAGTATAACTGGCAGCAGTGGGCACACTTGTGTACCAACACCAGATGTCCTGACAAAGCAGAACAAGTTACCACAGGATTAAGTTATGCTACAGTTTAGACCAAAGTTCTTCTGATTATCCAGCCAAAAAAACACCTAGTTTACGCTAAGCCTTCTATCACGCTAAAAATGTTGTTATCAGCTAACTTCAAAAGCATGCAACAAGAAATCTGGCTGTATTTACAAAACCACATCACACCTTGCATTACAGCAAGAGTCACCATGACTCCAAAATCAATTTTTTTACTATCCTTTTTTTCCTGAGAATTCCGCTTAAAGAAAATGACAGATCATTCCAGGCAGGTGACATCCTCATCAATATAAAAAGATCTTTCATCTGTATCAATTCTTACAAGATCCAGACTTACAGTTTGTAGCATTTTGGACTGTCCCGGCAGTGAATTGCATAACCTTCACTCAGTCGTGTGTCAGAGGCAACGATAGAAAAGTCTTCTCCAGCAATTGCCAACACAGTCCTTAAAGAAGAGTATTCATATAATCATGACTTTCAGCACAAATATTTTCTTAGGCAACAGAGAAACAGACTAGATAGTAGTTCTATATCCAGACTCACGTTTTGTCACACATCTTATATTCCTTGCTATGTTTCCCACTATGCACGTCCAAAAAAATTGGAGGAAGAAGATACTAGACACTCTGAAGAAAATATATGTACATGATTCTCTATTTTGACTAAAAACTGTATGGAAACTTGGTAAAACAGAGTTTCTACACAATGCAAGAACCAGGCAATTTTAGATGCGTGCTAATGAAAGATTCACCTTTCTAAACCAGTTTGGCTCTCCAAGCAAAAACACTCCAGCCAAGTACTAAGCATCAGTATCATTATACTTAAATTATCATCGCTTTTTTAATCTGATGTTATCCTACATTATTTACTTCCAAACAGCTAGTTTTGTGACTGCCACATGTGTGCTACCATTAAGTAACAAACAGATATCCTTTAAAAAGCAATTAGGCATTATTAAAAAAAAAAAAAAAATCTAAATAACACTGTCCTGGCCAGATCCCGTCACCAACTCAGAGCAAGTGTCTGTAAAACATCACCTACCTTTAACAGTTATGACAAGGTAGCTTTCAACCCAGTTACAGGTTTAAAAGCTGGTAATGTGACCATTACATGGGTTTCCTCAGTCACTACAAAGAAACAACCCTGCGGGGAATGGAACGAGCTTATTTTGACCCGTAAAAGTTCCGGAAGGCCGAGTGTGCCAAAAGCCACATGGACACGCAAGAATACCCCGAAGAGCTGCAAGGACCCGCGGGACGC